GAGGCGGCGGCCTCCGAGGCCCAGGACGCGGAAACCCTATAAAAACACATGGAAAATTAGCCCCAATACTCCCATGCCCCCTCGGGGCAGCCGCCCTGGGCGCCCGGGCGTCGTGCACGTCTGCGGCCAGATTGAGGCAATCCGGAAGCCTCCCGGGGGCCTCCTGGAAGCAGTTTTGACGCATCGAGGGCACTCTTGGGCTATTTTGGAACCTCTTGGACGTCCCCTGGGGGCCTTTTGGGTCCTCGGGAAGCTTTTGGGGTCCTCTTGCGGCCTCATGTGGGCCTTTTGGGGGGAACGCTCTGCTGTTGGGTCGCGTTCCCCGTCTTGGGCCTCTCTTGGGGCTCTTGGGGCCCTCTCGGGCCGTCTTGGGCACCTCAAGCACCGTCTCGGGGCCCTCGCGGGCCGTCTTGGGGCCCTCTTGGAGGCCTCTTCCTCTATATTGGAGCGGTATTGGAAGCCTCTTGGGCCGTCTTGGAGCATCGGGATGCCAAAAGGCCGAAAAAATTCAAACCCGTCAAAGCCCAATCGTAAAACAATGAGTTGTGCCTCTTGGGGCCACCTTGGGAGATCTCTTGGAACCTCGTCGGCCCTCTTGGGAGCTTCTTGGGGGGCCTCTTGGGACTTCCCGAGAACCTCTCGGGGTAGAAAACTCGGATTCTCAGTTCGTGTTTCCCTTCTTGGGCCTCTCTTGGGGCTGTCTTGGGGCCCTCTCGGGCCTTCTTGGGCGCCTCAGGCACCGCCTTGGGGCCCTCGTGGGCCGCCCAGGGCCCTCTTGGAAGCTTCTTCGGCTATCTTGGAGCTGTCTTGGAGGCCTCTTCCTCCTCCTCGTCCCCCTCCTCCTCCTCCCACTCCAGCTCTCTCTCCTCCTGATCTTCCTCCTCCCCCTGCAACGTGTTCCGGAAGGCTCCCGCCGGAACATGCTGTGCACAAGTGCTGTCACTGCTCCCGCCACAGTGCCCTGGGTGGTGGGTCAGAGGCCTCATGGGTGTTGGTTTGGATCTCGTGGTTGGCCTGTCGGGGACGTCGTGAAGGCAGTTTCGCAGCTTCTCGGTAGCCGTTTTGGGACCGTTGTGGGGCCTCCTCGGGGCTGTTTTGTGGCCTCTTTAGGCTCGTTTGGGCCTCCTGGGTGCCTCTTGGGGGCCTCCTGGGGCCTCTTAGGGGCTCCTTGGGGCCTCCTGGGGCACTCTTCAAGCGGGAGGGGCGAGGCCGGGGGCCCCAGGACAGGTGCCTCGATCCCCCATGGCGGGACGGGGGGGGGCCTGGAGCCTCCCGGGAGCAGCCCAGGCGGCCCAAGAGTGCCCCAAGAGCGCTCCACGACAGGCCCAGCAGGCTCCAAGAGGCCCAAGAGGGCGTCAAGAGGGCCCCAAGATGCCCAAGATAAGCCCAAGACGGCCAAAGAGGCCCCCAAGACGCTCCAAGAGGCCTCCAAGAGGCCCCCCCAGAGGGCCCCAAGAGGCCAAAATCGCTCATTTTACTAAGGTTTTGGACACAGTTTGCCTTTCCCGCCTTTTCAGCTTTGCGACGCTCCACGACGGCTCACAGGCCCTCCGCGGACGCCCCAAGACAGCCCAAGAGGCCTCCAAGAGGGCCTGAAGACGGCTCTGTTGGGCTGTCGTGGGCGACTCTAGGGCCGTCTTGGGGCCCTCTTGGGCCGTCTTGGAGCGCTCTTGGGGGCCTATTGAGCCGTCTTGGAAGGTCAGACAGCCGAAAAGGCTGGAAGGCCAAAATCGTTCGAAAACCTCCGTGAAATTTACGATTTCGGCCTCTTGAAGCGCTGTGGAGAGGCGTCTTGAAGCGTCGTGGAGTGCCTTTGGGGGGCCTCTCGGGCCGTCTTGGGCCTATCTTGGGCGTCCTGGAGCGGTCTTTCGGCGACTCGGGGCCCGCTTGGGCCGTCTTGGGAGCCTCTGGAGGCCCTCCTGAACTATTTTGGACCTCCCCGGCCGCCCCGTCCTCCCACGGGGGGTTCTTCGGGGCTGTTTGGGAGCCTCTTGAAGCCTCATTTGGGCCTCCTGGGTGCTTCTTGGGGGTCTCCTGGGGCCTCTTGGGGCCCCTTTGGGGCCTCCCGGGGCCCTGTGGAGGCGGGAGGCTCGAATTTCCGGTTCGCAGTTCCCCTCTTGGAGCCCTCTTGGGGCCGTCTTGGGGCTCTCTTCGCCCGTCTTGAGCGCGTTTTGGGCCGTCTTGGGGCCCTCCAGAGCCGTCTTGAGCCCCTCTTGGAGGCCTCTTGGGCTCTCTTGGGGCGTCCGCAGGGGGCCTTTGAGCCGTCGTGGAGCGTCGGAAAGCTGAGAGGGCGGGAAAAGCAGAATGTGTCCAAAACCTTCGTAAAATAAACGATTTCGGCCTCTTGAAGCGCTTTGGAGAGGCGTCTTGAAGCGTCGTGGAGTGCCTTGGGGGGCCTCTCGGGCCGTCTTGAGCCTATCTTGGGCGTCCTGGAGCGGTCTTTCGGCGACTCGGGGCCCGCTTGGGCCGTCTTGGGGGCCTCTGGATGTCCTCCTGGACTATTTTGGACCTCCCCGGCCGCCCCGTCCTCCCATGGGGGGTTGGAGGCGGCGGCCTCCGAGGCCCAGGACGCGGAAACCCTGTAAAAACACAAGGAAAATGAGCCCCCGTCCCGCCATGGGGGGTGGGGGCACCTGTCCTGGGGCCCCCGGCCTCGCCCGCAGGGATATATATATATATATATATATATATATATATATATATATATATATATATATTTATATATATGTATGTGTGTTGTGTGTGTGTGTGTGTGTTGTGTGTGTGTGTGTGGTGTGCGTGCGTGCGTGCGTGCGTGCGTGCGTGCGTGCGTGTGTGTGTGTGTGTGTGAAAACTTTGCGCAACATGCATTGAACCACGCAGATTGCACAACAGATAATGTACACTATAATTTACTGCGCAACGTATATTGCGCATTATAGGTTGCATGCCATATATTGCAATACGTATATCACAACATAAATTGCTCCACGTCGATTGCACCATATCCACCGACCCCACCTTGCCGGGGGTGAAAAAGGCGTGTGAGACATTTGACTGTCCTCTTCCCCCTTTCCCCTCCCCTGGGGTCCACAATGGTGGTCGAGGGGGGGGCGACGAGCTCCCAAACGCACTCCCGGGGCCTCCGGAGCCTTTCCAGGACCCAAAGAGCGGCGCATGAGGTCTAAAACAAAATGTGACAACAGCGCCAAATCAACCCAAGAACGCGTCAAGATCGCCCAAGGTAGCCCTACGACAACCCTAAATGGCTTCGAGCCAGCCCACGAGGCGCTCAAGACGGCCCAAGAGTGCTCCCAGTGGGCAGCCGAGAGGGCCCCCAGGAGCGAACATCGTGACATTCCCGTAGAGACATGTACATTTTTAGCATACTCGCCTTCTTCGTCCTGACACTGTCAAAGACGGCCCAAGGGGTTCTCAAGTTCGTCCAAGACGGCAATGAGGCCCCGAAGAGAGCCTCATGACGGCCTAAGAAGGCCCCCAAACGGCCGCCAGGTTCCCCCAGACGGCCCTAGAAAGCCCCAAGCGGGCCCTAAGAGGGACCAAGAAGGGGAATACGAATTGATTATTCGAGCCTTTCTCCCCAAGATGGCCCCAAGAGCTCCCCGCCCCAAGAGGCCCCCAAAGGGCCCCCACGAAGTCCCCAGGAGGCCCCAAGAAGACCCAAAAGGCCCCCCAGATGCCCCCAAGAGCCCTCCAAGAGGCCCCTGAAAGGCATCCCGCGAGCCCCATCGACTGCATCCAAGAAGCTCCTCACCCACCAGGTAACTTCCAAGATCGTCGCAAGCACTCGCTGCTTCTGGGGGGTCGGCGGAATGGCGGAATCCACTTGGATATTGCTAGAACACACGCTGTTAGGAGTCTACGCTGGCCATCTATGCACACCCACATCTATCTACCATATGTCTGTGTGTATATATATACACATATATATATGTGCATATGTGTATATATATATATACACATACACACATATATATATAATAAATATACATGTGACAATTCGTGTGCGAGAGGGGGGGACGTGTATGCAATTGTGTAATTGTGGAGGCGATGGGGATGGGTGCTCAGGGATGCTGCCGAGCGGGCCGACGACATCCAACTGGGAGGCGGGGGTGCAGCGCGCAGAGCGCTCCTCCGAAGAGATCTCGAGCACCCAATTTGCGCGGAGACGCTCTGCACTCTGGGGCCTTTCTTCACACTCGGCTGCACGCAAGAGTGACCCTGGGCAACAAGTTTCATTTGGTGCGCGGCATTTTTAGGGGCCGCGGGTGGGCAAAGCACAAGCGCGCTCGCCGCTGCTAATCTTCGCTTTCAGCCATCTCGGGACCCACCTGTGCCCGCACCCAAGGTCACTCTGGCGAAAGGTTTTTCTTATGTCTAGTCGACGCACTCATCCGCCCGACTCGACAACCTTAGAAGGGTCTACATAACATGCGGGCTCGAACCTCGAACAGGCTCGAAAAAGCTCGAGGACGCCCAACGAGTTCCAAAGGAGTCGCCCGCCGGTCTGGGGGCTGTCTGGCAGGGCCGCGGGCAGCAGCTGTTACGCGGCGCGGGCTCGCGAAGACCACGCCCACGAAGGTTTCGCGCCTGTCTGGTCAGGCCGAGGATGGAGCAGGGGAAGGGAGGGGCTCCCTCTCTCGCTCATCTCCCCCCCCCTCCCCTCCACTGCTCGCGCCCCCCCGTCCCTTCGTCTCCCTCCCTCGCTGCTCCTATACCTCCCTGCCCTCCTCACTCCCTCCCCCCCCAGGCATCCTCCGATATGACTTTTTCCCGGTCCGCGGCCCCAGAGGTCTCGACCCCCTCGCCGGGGGCGCTTCTCCGTCCCAGCTCCACTTCTGATGGCCCCCGGGCCCGACAAACGGGCCCCGGAGGCCGAGCTCGCGGAAAAAAAGCGCCGGGCTGCACACCTCTCGGAGGTCTGGGCCCCTCCCCCTGCGATTCCTGCTCCTCCCTCTCCCGCCCCTCCTCCCGCCCCTGCCCACTCAGAGGATAACGACCTGCGCCTCCTGCGCGAGCGGCTGCGGCTGCGGCTGCGGCTGCGCCTTCCGCCGGGCCGGGCCAGAGAGGAGCCCCTGCAGGAGGGTATCCTGGAGCCTCCCAGGAGAGCTCAGGGCTCACACGGAGCGTTCACGTGTTTCATGTGCAGTCCTGCGATGCTCCAGTCTTCCTTGTCGAGTGATGGCTGCAACAAGCAACAAGGTCAGGAACGGAACTCGTAGGAGTTGACGAAACGCGAGGCGTGGCCATCCAGACTGCGCTGAGATGGACGGAAACTCGCGATGTGCGTGTGACGCCACTTGGACGAGCGATCAAGTCATACTATCCCCAACCATATCAGCTCGTACAACCCGTGCTGTGGAACGAGGCTGGCGGGCCCCTCTAAATTATTAGCTGGAACTCCCTGCGAATCTTCGTCCCGAACTATGCTTCCGTGGCCGTTCAATGTCTTTCCGTACGGAAAATCGAACTGTCCTCCCTGCGCGCGGCAATTCACGGGTTAGGTCTATTCTCGATCAAGGGCCCCGCTGTCTCATCAAGAGCCTGGGTCTGCAATGGCCTCCTCAAGTTTCGGATCATCGCGAGTGAGCTGCGCAGAGCCGCTGCGCTCACAGAGGTGACTGCCCGAGGCATCGTTGTTCAGGTACCCACCTCCTGTGCTACCACGTGTAATCCACAGCTTTGAGTTCACACACGAAACTCGCCCGAACCATGTCTCAGGGATCTAAGACTCGTTCGCACTTGCTTCTTGGCCAAGGGGCGGCGAAGGAGAGACACATTCCTGCCCTTGCATGCAGCTGAATCTACAGGTGAAGACTGACAAGGTGTGGGTATGGACTCGCCAAGGCCGAATGCATAGACGATACGAACGATCTCCATACCCCTTGTGTATCCGTACATGGGATGGCGATGCCATGGACATGGACATACTATTCTACTTATGAAGCCTGGGTGTGCCAAAGGTTTAACGTGAAATTCGCCGAAGAAGCTGCGAGTCAAAGCCGAGGGGGTGCAAACACCTTGGGCCTGAGGGGAACGGATCACTCTGAGCTCAGAACAGTGACCACTCCAACCGAACAACAAAGATTTGGGCATCCTAGAACGGGCCGGCTTCCTTCTCGCACTCGGCTCGGATCTCGTCCGTGGGAAAAATGTCGTGCCGAATCAGGGACTCTCCTGTTGGGCTGGGTCCGTCCGCTGGGCTCCCAGGACTTCCGCACGGGTCCTCCCAGGGGCGCTCCTCTCCAACTGGCAGCTCGTTGCAAACCGCACCCGTCCTTGCCTGCGTCTGCGGCTGCGGCTGCGGCTGCGGCTCTTGCGCCGCCGAGAGCGGCTCCTGCGCTGGGTACGCGCGCGCGCGGCACGCGCGCTGGAGCGCAATACCATATGATCCCTGCGTCGACCTTTCTCGGCGTGCATCTCTGGTTCGTGCCCGCGCGCGCGTACACATCAAAGAGCAAGGGGCCAGCGCTGCTGCTGGAACGTGGAATGCTGACGGTGAAATCGGGGAACCCAAACATTACCAGGAGGAATCAACCAGCGCCCCAGGAATTGATAGGCCCAGACGTCCCCAACCCCCAAAACATGCTCTCAAATTACATGAATATGGCATGAACAGAAGTTCAGGAATGTGCACGTGCCCGGTGCGTTCTCTCTCTCTCTCTCTCTCTTATTCTGTTTCTCACACTCTCTTTCTCTCTATGTATGTATCCCTCTCTTTCTCTCTGTCTTTCCCTTTCCTTCTGCTTCTCCATAGACCCCCAGCGTCGCGTCATCCTGGGACAATTTTGTCATCCCAGGTTGTTTTTGAACCGTAAATGCAACGACCAGAACTCGTGGAGAGGGGGTGGTGGTGTTGTTGAGATCCAGGAGGTGTGCTCCTATGCGGCCTCCCTGGAGCTTGGGTCGTGCATTTGGACTCGTGTGGTGCTCTTTGGAGGATGTGAGGAGGGACTCCTGCATTGCGCTTGCATGCGTGCTCGCAAGAAGCGGAGCGTGCAGTCAGCTTGCAAGGGGAGGGTGGACGGACGAGAAGGACCATCATAAACACAAGATGCGCCACCGATGCTGCAATACGCCAACTGGTCCAAGAGCCCCTCCCTCCCTCAAGACCCAGTGCAGTGCTTGCTGTTCAGTGAAGTGCCAGCGCCCGGCTGTCGTGCAATTCCAGCGATGGCACCGTTTTGAACAAAGAACCGCTATCTATGTTTCTAGCTATAAAGACGGCGACGAGGTAGGAACAGAACATCAAAAGAAGTGGTTCACGATAGCCCCGCTTTGAAACATATCCTCCCTCAAGCTGTGCACATGTTCTCTCAAAGCGCCTGGCCGTACAATCTGATGACGTCTAAATCAAGAGTACAGATGTGGAGGAAAGAGCCGCCCTCCATCCGCGTTACTGTTGCACACTTTTATACCCCTGACTACAATGTCCAACGAAGTAACACAGGAAAACGATGTTTGGACAAGGTCCGCCCTCTATCGTTGTACTTACTCGGTTAATAGCGCTCAGCACGGATGTGTCTGGATTTAGCTCGGGCGAGAAAAACGTTTTGAAAACAATCCCATCCATCAGTGCATCAGTTGGAAGCTTTGAGATGAACGTGCGCAGCGCCAGCGCGAGAACCACGTTTTGAAAACGGGCCGCCCTCCATCCGTGTAGCTACTTGCACTTTGAAGACACAGGTGCACGACGCAAAAATGATAACCACGTATTGAAACATATTCGCCCTCCATCCGAGTACAAATCTGCGCGGCGCTGAAAGGAGAACCGCACTTTGACGAAAAGTAACTGTGCTCCAGCCGTGTAGCTTGTTGAATCTCCAACCTTAGGGGTTCTACGCGGGGAAAAAGGCCTCGGGCGAACCGCCCGACCCGCCCTGCCGACACGCCTGGTGGTCAGACAAGGAGGGGCTATCCATACGGAAAAGGGATGGATCGGATCGAATCGGCCGTCCTCGGATCGTCCCCGAATCGGCCGTCCTCGAATCGGCCGTCCTCGGCGAGCAGCTGCCAGGCGGGTGCGGCACCCATCAGCACCACGGCCCAGGTCACCCACTGAGCGGGCTCGCTTCCTGGGGCCCCGTCGCCCTCGGCCGACCTCTGATGGCCCCAGGGCCCGAAGCGAACCTCCGGAGGCGGGAGACCGAGAAACACCGCTGCGATCCTCCAACCCCTGAGCTCCGACGTCACGACAAAATGCAACAACGTTTAAAAACTCGATCGGAGCCCTGGGCCCCCTCCCTTGTGCGGGATTTTTGCGAGTCGGATCCATCCGTGAGTCCTGGAGCCCTAAACAGGGCACACTCGTCCGTTGTAAAAGAGATGCGACGCAAATATCTCAGGGACCCTCCTCCTCCTCTTCCTCCTCCTCTGAGGTTTTGGACCTCCCGTGCGCCGAAAGGAGGCAGGGCGGCGCCAGCTCCTGCTCTGGCTGCGGCCCTCCTCTCTGCCGGAGGCGGCGGGCGCGTCCTCGGCCCAGGTCTTCTCGCGGAGCTGCGTCTGCCGTCGGCGGGTGGACAGAGGGAGGGAGGGAGGGGACGCGATGACCGGAGAGACTGGACGGCGAAGGATGCGACTTCTCCAGTCTCCGCAAGACGGTCCAGCACCTGTGGCTGGGAGCACCGCGTGGGCCTCAGGGCTGCCAGAGCTCGGGGCGAAACAGCAGCGGCATCCAGTGCAGCGAGGATGGACGGGAGCAGGCTGGGGGGATCCTACAAGCGGCGTCAGGGCAATTTCAGAACATGCGCCTTGGCGCGTGAGATCAAGAGGGTAACATAATAAGCAGAGGGGGAGGGGTAGGGACACAGACATACTCGCGTGGCAACAAATCACGACGGGAATCGTTTGTTAATTTTCTGGCTCTGGGGACCCTCGCCGAGCCCTGGGACCGTCAAATTATCCCGGCAAAGCGACCTAACAGCGATGTGTAGAAGCATATATGGAAACATTCCCCTTAAGATCCAGATGAGAATCCAGTTGTAGAATTCTCCTGTTCTCGCAGTCGCAGTCGCATTCGCGATGACAGTCGCAGTGGCAACGGCAGTCACAGTCACAGCCTCAGCCTCAGCCTGCCTCAGTATCAGCCTGCCTCAGCCTCAGCCTCAGCCTGCCTCAGCCTCAGCCTCAGCCTGCTTCAGCCTCAGCCTCAGTCTGCCTTCAGCCTCGGCCTCAGCCTCAGCCTGCCTCAGCCTCAGCCTGCATCAGCCTCAGCCTCAGCCTGCCTCAGCCTCAGCCCTCAGCCTCAGCCTCAGCCTGCCTCAGCCTCAGCCTCAGCCTCAGCCTCAGCCTCAGCCTCAGCCTCAGCCTCAGCCTCAGCCTGCCTTCAGCCTCAGCCTGCCTCAGCCTCAGCCTCAGCCTGCTTCAGCCTCAGCCTCAGTCTGCCTTCAGCCTCGGCCTCAGCCTCAGCCTGCCTCAGCCTCAGCCTGCATCAGCCTCAGCCTCAGCCTCAGCCTGCCTCAGCATCAGCCTGCCTCAGCCTCCTCAGCCTCAGCCTCAGCCTCAGCCTCAGCCTCAGCCTGCCTTCAGCCTCAGCCTCAGCCTGCCTTCAGCCTCGGCCTCAGCCTCAGCCTGCCTCAGCCTCAGCCTGCATCAGCCTCAGCCTCAGCCTCAGCCTCAGCCTCAGCCTCAGCCTCAGCCTGCCTCAGCCTCAGCCTCAGCCTCAGCCTCAGCCTGCCTCAGCCTGCCTCAGCCTGCCTCAGCCTCAGCCTGCCTCAGCCTCAGCCTCTGCCTCAGTATCAGCTTGCCTAAGCCTCAGCCTCAGCCTGCCTCTCAGCCTCAGCCTTCAGCCTCAGCCTCAGTCTGCCTTCAACCTTAGCCTCAGCAATCAGCTGTATCAGGGCAAGCCTCGCCTCAGGGCCCAAGCCTGCCTCAGCCTCAGCAGCTTCAAAATGTGGCCCGGGAATGGAGTTCTGGGAACTCGAAGAGCACGAAGTGGCCTACAGTTGGCTCCGGGCATTCAAAATGTGGCCCGGGAATGGAGTTCTGGGAACTCGAAGAGCACGAAGTGGCCTACAGTTGGCTCCGGGCATTCAAAATGTGGCCCGGGAATGGAGTTCTGGGAACTCGAAGAGCACGAAGTGGCCTACAGTTGGCTTCAAAATGTGGCGGGCATTCAAATTCATGTGGCCCGGGAATGGAGTTCTGGGAACTCGAAGAGCACGAAGTGGCCTACAGTTGGCTCCGGGCATCCAAAATGTACGCCGGGAATGGAGTTCTAGCAGCGCCAAGAGCGATTTTGCGAGGATGTCCCAAGCGATTTGGGCTTCGACGGCAGCCGCCCCGGGTCCCGCCCGGACCCCCCTGTGGAGTCATCTGCTGCTCTCTTTTGACACCACTACAAACCTATCAGTCTTCGCTGTTAGGTAAAAACGACTGGGGATGAAAACCCAGTTCCGCGGAATGGGTCCAAACGTCGAGACCTCCGCCCATGTTTGTGAAGACGGACCTGGGGGCTACCAAACGCCCAAGATCAGAGCCCGCAGAGCCCGCTGATGTGTCGGCCCCATGGAACAAGGGCGAGATCCCAGACCAAAACATGGGAAGCTCCCATGGACTGGACTAGGCCCTCAAACTCTTCCTAGCCGATTCGCGCCTCACCCCTTCGACCACCAGCTTCCTGATGAGGGCAGGTGCCAACCGAGTCAAGATGTGCGCGACCCCGTCGTCCGAACGTAGCTCCTGCGCCGAGAGAACCTGCCCGCTGATCCCCTCGCAGAGCGAGGACGAACACGTCGGCGGGTGTCGACTCCGCCACCCAGGGTCTGGGAGACTTCCCACGGCGCTCCTGGGCCGCCCATCTCGAAGGTCTTGCTGAGCACCTGAGGCTTGAGCCTCCCCCAGCCGCCGTGCGCCACTGACGCACCGGGCCTGCCAAGACGACCCGCGGGTCCACGCGGAACCCGTCCTTGAACGAATATATACACAGGCCCACTGTGGCCCCGCGAGGTGGACGACCCAAACTTTTACAAGCAGAGAGCCACAGAGGATGAAGCTCCGACGGTGGCACACCCATCACAGAGAATCCTCAGAGCGCTGACGCCGTCGGACCGCCTCTCTGGATTCAGGTCGTGTCAGCACCTGCTTCCCGAATCGAGCCAGGCGGCCTGCTGCTCTGGACGCTCTGCTCCTTCTGGCTGCGGTGATCTAAATCCTCCGAAGGCTCCCAAGTTCGCGTCGGTCCCAAAATTTCTGGCAATCTGAACATGATTCTCGGAAGGCAACGGCCACGACCCGTGAAGAGCAGCGGCCAAACTTGGACCACTAGCAGGCCATTTGCATTTCTCAATGCTCACAGGCAACCGCATGTCCACGAAACTTGTGAGCAACTGCATCACAGCTCCTGATAACCGCTTTCGGCCAAAAGTTCTGCAACGACATCTCGCCCACAACACTACGAACCCTAATTTGAGGCCGGCGAGAAACAACACTCGAAATCGGACCCAGGAGGAGCGACTTCGCTAATGTCGTTGCCGCGGAACAGCCAGCAACCACTGCCCCAATCGCCTGAAGAACCTCCGAAACAGCCCCGTCGAACAACAATGTGTTGAACCCCAAATAAATCATGACGAGACCCCCCAACAACTTCGACTTGAAATCGAACTGCCGGGCCGCAACAAAAACGTCTGTTTGACACATGTGCCGTTATAAAGTCTTGAGGTCCAGCAGCAATGTGGCACTGTGCGTGGCCATGGCGCAACAAAGACAACCATCAAGTTGTGGGACCATCCCGCCCGCTCGCAGGTCGTCGTGGACCTACTACCCCAGAACAAACTCCACGTGATAGGCTCGTTCCCAGCCCCGACACATCGGTTGTTTTGACTTCCCCAGGGTTTAGCAAACAAGCTAAACAACCCTATCGGTCTCGTTGTCCCCCCTTCAGGTCTCTGGAAAGCGCGTTGGCGACCCACTCCAGGGTCCATTCGGGGCTGTCCTCGAAGGCCTGGAGAATGCTCACGATCCTAACCTGGTGCTCGAGCGGCAACTGGACGACCCACTTCGGGTGGAACCTGTTCCAGCCGAGGCCTGCACCTTCCGAGTGAGACTTGCACACCTCCTGCAGGGCCTTCATCGTGATCGGGGGCAAGGTGCTGTCGCCTATCTCCCAAGACCCAGGGCTGTGAGAAGCGCGGCCCTTCGGAGCTCACATCGGGAGCCACTCGTCCAAAAAAGCCGCGACAGCCTGATCACCACTGACGGGGGGCCCTCCAGACCCGTCCTCGAAGTGGGAGGGCTCCGCCACTTCCTTCTTTGCAAAGACGTGAGCAACCCTCCCCCCTTTCTTGACCGACTCCTTTGCCCATGTCCTCCACTGGCGGCCTCGCTCCCGAGCGTCAGCTCGCTGAAGAAACGTGCAGCAGTCGGTCCACTGCTGCCGTGGAGGAGCAACTTCATCAGCTGTGACGCGACGGAACCGATCAACAAACTGGCGCAAGGACAGCCATGGCGGGCGCTCCACCCCGCCCTGTATTCAGGCGGTGCCTGAGGCTCGCGCATCCTGCGAATGACGTTGCACTCGGAGTGGCGCTAGCCACCACGTGCTGGCATGCCGCAACCGGTGGTCGAGTTTCTGCACTGCGAGGAGCTCGACGGTGGCACTCCAAATGCGGAGCGTCGCAAACACCAGCGTGCTCGGAACATCCCAGAAACGACAGGTGTCGGGGCTGTGTCTGTGGGCGATCTGCGATGGTACATGTTACGAACAAACAGCGTGGACGCGGCATCAAACACAGCACGCATTCGAGATTATGCAATACCTGGCGCAGCATATTGCACCACGCGCTGCGCCTAGCGGCTTTCCAACAAACGCCGAGCGCGTGAGGTATTTAACGGAACGAACACCAGGGTCTGTGGGGCATCGGCAACCACCAAGTGCTACCGCACGCGTCACTGGCGCCTGTCGGGTCGGGCGAAAGGGGGGGATAGCAAAGGGGGGGTTTGAGAATCAGCTCACGTAGCTGATTTTCCCGGCGCCTCCCGGCGCCGGGATGCGCCCATGTATCGAGGAATGGGCCCCTCGGTGAGGCCGAAACCAGCTGCATGCAACAAATTTCGTATCCCCCCCTTTCCCAATCCCCCCCTTTCGCCCGGCCCGAGCCTGGGCTGTCGGGCGCGCGCTAACATGGACTACGGATCCGCGGGTCTGGCGCGTGGGCCTCGGGCCCACGGATCGGGGAACGGACCCCCCGAAGCACGAGGCCGCTGCCGCATGACCTGGCGCCTGAGCGTGCCGACCTCGTGCGGGAGCGGGGCCCGTCGCTGACCCGCGCGCCTTCATCCATGTTTGCGCTTCCTCGAGACCTCCTCCCCTCACCCAAGAGGGCCCCCCCCCCCTTCCCCGACGATGGCGAGATCCCTTTCTTGGGGCAAGCCAGCTGGCGTCTCTGCGCCACGAAGGGGGGGGGGGGGGCGACCTGCCACCCCCCCTCTCGTCGCCGCGCTTCGGAGGGCACCGAGCCTGCAGAAACAAGCAGCACGGAGGCCGGGGCCTCGAGCAAGCGCCACTGCGGGATCTCGGGGAACATCCCGAAGACCAGCGCCCACTCGTCCCGCATGAGCTCGCCGGTGGCCTCACTGTACGGCGGCGGGTGGGCGGGAATGCTCGAGGGGAGCAGTCCTGCATTCCTCCTCCTCCTCCTCCTCCCTCCCTCCCTCTCTTCCGGCTCCTCCTCCTCCTCCTCATTCTCCTGCTGGCTGTCTTCCAGGACCTCGCGCCCTCTCGGAGCGCGCGCGAGGGCAACCTAGAATACTGCAATCCTCCTCGTCCTTGTCCTCGTCCTCGTCCTCGTTCTCCTCCCCTTCCTCCTCCCCTTCCTCCTCCTCCTCCTCCTCCTCCTCCTCCTCCTCCTCCCCCTTCTCCCCCTTTCTCGAATACCAGGCTCGAGGGTCGAGGTTGGAAGAGCAGGCAACCGGACCCAAACCCCCTCGCGTCGTGAACAAAACCACTGCGGGAATTGTTAGGCAGAATTCGGCAAGTCGGCAGCTCGGACTGGGCCCTGGGACCGTCAAACCATGGCAAAATACCCCAGATGAAAGACCTCCTGGACAAACACTGCCCCAGGTGAGAAACCGGTCGCAGGGAAGGGGTCGAGACCTCCCAGGAGTCCACGTGGTGACAGAAAACACGACGTGGTGGTTCTGGGTTGTTCTCCATGGATCGGGGTGGAAGAATGCGCCGCAGCGCGCCCTGGGCGACGGGAACAGCCCTGGAGGCTGTGTTTGTGGTGAGCCGTGCAGCTCGGCCCCCCGATGAAGCAAGTTCGCTGCTATCTTGCCATCTCCGTTTTCGGGCGTGACTCAGCCCCTGTGCCTCTTTGGCGAGTCGCTGCCGCTAGCACCGCCTAGCCCTGTGTAATATAGAGAATTATCGGAAACAGAAAAGGACCCGTGCACAATCTTGCGCTACCTCGCACAAGCCCTTGCACAAATAGCCCGTTTCGCAACATGTGCGAGCTTTACTTTCCATAGCATGTAGTACGCCCTGTTGTTGCGCCTCGAAACCACATTCGATTGTCAAGCAAACACTGTTGAGGGCCCGCGTGAGGCATCATCGCACCAATTTCGCTTTTCGGTATTCCGGCATCCTGCTGGGGGATCTGAAGCAACTCAGCCCAGACCCTCCTAGTTCGTGGCCTTCAGACCTCACGAAAACGCTGCTACTAAACCTTACCCACCAACCTAGCGTCAAATACGGCCCCGTCTGCACTGGCAGCCAAGCCCATTGCAGCAAGGGGCCTACGACGACGAAGTGCAGCCACCATCTCCGACACCAATCATAACAACAACCACGGACCTCAATAGACGTGGGCGACAAAAAGCGGCACAACATAGCAAACACCGCGCAGCCCACCTACGTACACACTCCAGCTAACCAGAACGAAGTATTGTGAGAGAGAGAGAGCCGCAACTGCTTGCTTCGCAACGTGCGGCAAGTCGCACGAACACAATTTCAAAACTTGGAAGACGCCCACCCTGCATTCCCACCTGCACCGCAACTCTACAGTGTATCCAAGTCAATCCCAACCACCTCATACACATATCTACGAATCAGGGGCTGGCACTTACAGTCAAGACAAAACCATCCAAACGCATAGAAACGGCCCAAGAGTTCAACGCGAATCAACAACCACGGATGGCACAGCCGTCAGAACCCATCGCCGAATCATAGATCATATCGTAGTTCTACTACGCCACTTACTACGAATGTATCGAATGATAAGGAGACCTCAACCACCTGTCCCAACAACGTCCAAATATCTGCATTGACCGGTTGACAACTCCCCAATGCACTTCGACGTGCTATTCTAGCAACCACGCGCATACAACGCGCCCGCTGCAGCTGACCTTCCACGTATCAAGCCCGAAAACACACCATCTCCAGTGCTTCCACCCCGCCCGAACCTGCTTCAATATGCAATTGCTTCTCCCTGCCAACCCTCGTCCTTACTTTTTTACTAACAGTTCCAAGAAAAAACGCTATCGCGCTTCGCCAGCTAGTCTGCCGTTCAAGCCAACACGGCACGCTCCGACGCCGAAAGCCCCAATTGATAGCTCTGTCAACCTAGGCCCAACAGCACTGGCTCATCACCATCATTATCACAACCATTACCATCACCATGATCATCATCACCATCTTCATCGTGACCATCGCAGCCACATGCCGTCGCAGCCCAACCTCAATACCAATGCCATCTGCTTGCGTTAACTAGCGGCACCACTTCAGCATCAACCCGCGGCTCCCTGCTCCATGCCCTCCTTCCCTTGCATTCTCCCTTGGCTCCTGTGGCCCGTCCAAGTCCTTGGACTTTCTCCACACTTCTCGCTAGGCTCCGTCCGCGTCTTCGTTGCTTCGTCGTTCTGCCCTAATCCTCCCCTTTCATCAAGTTCCCTTTAAATGACTCCTCCCTGTCGCACCCCCCACTGCGTGGGTGGAACACGCTCCGTTCTCAAAGTGGGACTCTCGCCTCGGAGCCGCGCGCGCGCGTGCGCCTGTCTTGAACACTTCCAACGATTACGCGGATGGAGGGCCGCAGTTTGCAGACTGGGCATCTCGCATCGGCACCGTGCAAATTCGTCTTAAAACAAATGGAGAACGGAGCCTTTTTTAAAACTGGGCTCTCGCTTGTTACTTGTGAAAAGAACTTGGGCCATGTGCAGCGCTGGCACGGATGCAGGGTCGATCTGTTCTAAACCGGAGCTCCCATTGGACACTTCCTTGAACGTTCTGACCCTACCTGTTCGTTCGCATTCTTAAAGCGGGGTCTCGCCGAAACGGCACGCCCACGGGGCGTTCGTCTGTCAGTGGGGGGCGCCTCCTGCAGTGGAAATGGAAACCGGCTAGGACTCATGAAGGTAGGGCTGGGGGCGGTGGGGTTATGCAGCATCACTGTTGCCGCTTGGTCTTACTCTGGTCCTTCTGCTGTTCCTCCTCCGCCCCCTCTGCTTTCCAAGCTGCTGTGCTCTCTCTTCTGCGCCGCGCGCAGCGCAACGACTGCCGAACAAATCAATGAGGAGGCGGCGGAGGAGGACGCAATGTGGAATTCTTCACTGTGTGGAACTCCCCATATGTGCATCTACTTGCATGGACCTTTCCGCCGTGAGCGTCTAAGCGCAAGAGACTTCGAATTTAAACGGGCTTGAACAGTGATTGACTGGACGTGGATCTAACTGTGAACGAGTTGGGGTGTGAATGAGTCTCAGTAGTACGGGTGAGTCTATGCGCATGAGTCTGAACATGTCTAAGCATAGGACGATTGTATCTGCGCGTCAGTGGCCTGACCATGGCTGAGCGTGGCTGAATCGAAATGGCTACGCGATCCCTCCCTCCATGATGAAGCAATGCATAAGGGGTGCTCATGCAAACGCCGTGCGAAACCCTTGCGCTCCGTTGTCTGGCCAAGGAGATCTCACGCAGTGGCTGGACCGTGGCGCAGCCAGCCACGCCACTGAGATGAGGCCCGTTCTATAAGAACATGCGTAAACACCTGGGGCTAGAAGAGCAACAGGAGACGGGCAATCTTTAGGAGCATGCGTAAAACACAAACGATTCGTGCCTCAGGAGAGGCCCATTCTACAGGAACCAGGAGACACACATATGATTGGAGCCACAGGATAGGGGCAATCCATAGGAACAGAAGTGGCGTAAACCAAAACATATTCGTGCCCCAGTAGAGGCTCAATCTATAGGAACATACGGGAACACGTAGGGTTGGAACCAGGGAGAGCATCTTATATGAACATACGTGAACTAAGGACTGTGCCCCGGGAGAAACACATTCTATAGGAACATCTGTGAAACACCTAGGATTGGAGCCACAGGAGAAGGGCACTCAGTAGGAACATATTCTGCAACACACATCGGGTTTGAGCCGCTCCTGTGGCCTTCTGGGGCCTCCTGGTGTTTCCTGGCCTCTTGGGGCCTCCTGGTGCCTCCTGGGGGGCCTCCTGGGGCTTCTTGAAGCCCCCTGTTGCCTTCTGAAGGATCATGAAGCCTCCCGGGGTCTCCTGGAACCTCTTGGGGCCTCCTGGTGCCTTCTTGGGGCTTCCTGGGGCCTCCTGGACCTTCCTGAAGCCTCCTGGTGTCGCCTGGAGCCTCCTGGGGCATCCTGGCGAGGATCCGTTCCCCAGGAGATGCCCGATCTATGCGAACATGCGCACCACACTTTGGATTGGAACCACAAGATTAATGGCAATCTGTAGGAACATCTGCAACATGTGCCTGATTTGTGCCCCAAGAGAGGCTCAATCTATAGTAGCACGCGGAAAACACTTAGGATTGGAGCCACCAGAGAAGGGTACCTTATAGGAACATGCGTAAACTCTAAGGATTCGTGCCCCAGGAGAAGCCCGACCTGTAGGAACATATGTGACACACATCGGATGGGAGCAACTCCCGTGGCCTCTTGAGGCCTCCTGGGACTGCCTGGGGCTTCCTGGGGCCCCTTGGAGCCTCCTGGGGACTGCTGGTGCCTCCTGGTGCCTCCTGGTGCCTCCCGGTGCCTCCTGGAACTTCTTGTGGCAACCTGGGGCCTCCTGGGAGCCTCCTGGGGCCTCCCTGGCGCCTCCTGTGACTTCCTTGTGCCTCCTGGTGCTTCCTGGGGCCTCCTGGGGACGCAGGCGGGTCTGGCCACCATTCAGCCAAACCGCTCGAGGCATCCTCGCAATCTGGGTACCCTGGGGTGCGCAAACCAGCGCCTCGCCCGAGATATCCTCACCATCTGATCCGACAACGGAGGATATCGGACGGGTAAACAAGCAAACCGCTCGAGACATCCCGCGATCTGGGCGCGACCAGAGGAATGATGTACTCCCTGGCGGCTCCCTTTGGGGGTGCGAAAACCAGCGCCTCGCCTCTCAGCATCTGCTCCGAAAGCGGAGGATGTCGGGTGGTGAAACAGGCCAACCGCTCGAGACATCCCCGCACTCTTGGGCGCGAGCGGAGGATTGAGATACCCCCTGGCGGATTCCTTTGGGGGTGCGACAACCAGCGCCTCGCCCGAGACATCCTCAACATCTGTTCGGACAGCGGAGGACATCGGGTGGTGACACAGGCGAGCTGCTCGAGACATCACCGCAATCTGGGAACGGAGGAGTGAGATACCCCCTGGCGCCCCCTCTTGGTTGTGCTGAATCAGCCGCCTCGCTGGATGCATCCTCAACATCTGCTCCATCCTCATCCTCATCCTCATCCTCATCATCATCATCATCATCATCATCATCATCATCATCAGCACCATCATCATCATCACCACCACCATTACCACCACCGTCGTCATCACCATCATTATCATCACCAGCGCCTCGCTCGAGGCATCCTCAAATTCGACCACGCCATCATCATCATTATCATCTTCACCACCACCACCATCGTCATCATCACCATCGTCATCGAAAATCATCACCACTGCTGTCATCATCATCATCATCATCATCATCATCATCATCATCATCATCATCATCATCATCATCATCACCATAACCATCACCATCACCATCAACATCATCATCAGCAGTGTCACTGGAGCCTCTTAGGGCCTCCTGGTGCCTCCTGTGGTCTCCCGGGGCATCCTGTGGCCTTCTGTGTCTGGCCAGCAAAACAAGCAAACCGTTCGAGACATCCTCGCAATCTGGGCCACCATGGCGAGAACCAGCGACTCGCTCGAGACATCCTCCAAATCTGGCAAACAGGCAAACCACTCGAGACATCCCAGCCATCGTGGCGCGAACGGAGGAATGAGATACTCCCTGGCGGCTTCCCCTTGGGGGTGCTGAAACCCGCGCCTCGCTCGAGACATCATCATAATTTGCTTCACCATCATCATCATCATCATCATCATCATCATAATCATCATCATCATCATCATCACCATCATCATCATCATCATCACCGCCATCATCATCATCATCATCCTCATCATCCTCATCATCATCATCATCATCAGTTTCATCGTCATCGTCATCGTCATCGTCGTCGTCATCGTCATCGTCATCATCAGCATCATCATCATCACCAACATCATCACCATCATCACCACCGCCATCATCATACCATAACACAGCATACCGTTTCATACCAGCATCTACAAACACATAACATAACACGCCATAACATAGCGCAACATTATATACCACACCACAAGATAGCATGATACGGAAGAGGAGGAGGAGGAGGTGAGTGGGTGGGTCCTCGGCGCGGTCGGAGTAATACCAAGAACCCCACCCTTAGGACATGGAGAATAACAAGATCCCTATCCTTCGGATATGGGGCGCAATAACCTAAGTAGTGATCCTGAGTATGACTCTGGGTGAGGAACTGACGGAGGAAGGGAGGTGTGAGGAAGGAGTCGGCGCGGTCGGAGTAATAACAAGAACTCCATCCTTTGGATATGGGGAAGAACAAGAACCCCATCCTTTCCATATGGGGAGCAAGAGGATGCGTGCTCAGATGTGGATGGGGAGAAGGCGGAGGAGGAAGACGAAGAGACGGATGAGCTTTGGCAGTTTGATGGTGATGGGGAGGAGGAGGAGAAGCGAGCACTGCGAAGCACCATCATCTCTAAAAGCCTGCGCGAACGAAGATGACGAAGAAGACGGGGGGCCCTAACCCCAAGTACGTGTGGCCCACGGAACGAGCCTCCTCCAGCCAAGCCGCCCGTGACAACGCGCAAACGAACTGCGCGCGGTACTGCTTCGGGGCGCAGTCGTACGCGGTCTGCCGGCCAGTATCTTTTTCTCCCCCAGTACAATCCCTCGGATACGGTGGTGGCGATGGGCAAGGGATTGTTGAGCGAGGGATCTGGCCTCGACAGATCAAAGAATTCGCCAGGGCAAGCGTGCTTTCCGCAGTGCCTCCACCGCAATGGCTTGCCTTCAGCCCAGAAGGATAGTCTTAGGGCGACCAAATGCGATGCACTACGGGCGCCCATCGTCGCAACGTCCGACTCCACAAACCACAACCGTCCAGGCAGAACAACCGCCCAACAATGCACAACCAAATCGGCCAGGTCGGGAAGACCACTTCTGCACCCTTTAGATGACGCCCGCGCCGCCAAGGAGGTGCCCAACTTGCTGACCCTGGGCCGACTGAAGCCGCCTGCCAACACCCATGCCACAGGCTGCAGCTGCCGAATCAAGTGCGACTGCGGCCTCGTCGGCGACAGGGAAATACAGTCTTGGCGGCAGAAGGCCCGAACAAACTTTTTCCCAAACCAATGCTTGCACTTCAGGGCTCTTGCTTCTGGTCCAAAGAACTGGGCCTGTGTGTCGGTCTGGCGGCTCCGTGCCAGCCGTCGCCGCCCCGTCGCCGCCTCGTCGCCGCCCGTCGCAGTTGCTTCGCCGTCGCTGTCGTGTTGCTTTGCCTTGCGTTGCATTGTTTTGCGTTGCACTTCTTTGCTTGCTCTGCATTGCTTCGTATTGCAAAGCAAAGCGTTGCATCGCCTGGCCTTGCTTTGCATTGCTATGCGTTGCATTGGTTTGCATTGCTTTGCCTGGCTTCGAACTGCTACGCCGTGCTTAGCACAGCCCTGCATTGCAATGGCGGAATAGGAATGCAAGCTTACAGTTCGTTGCAGTCGGACCTAGGCCATAATAGCATTTCCCAAGAGCATGAGACCCTCCGTCGGCCAAAACACACAGAACATCCAAGGGTACCCTCTCCAGGACTCACAAGAACATACCACAAAGACGAATAACACTAAGGTGCCCTGCCCGAACCGACCTCGATCTTATGCCTCGGTCCGGCTGTAAGGCGTACTGACCATCGTTCATCTGGCCTCGATGAATACGTTACCTCTTACGACATATATTGCATCACATAGCTTGCACCACATAGCTCACACCACATAGGTGAGTACGTTAGCTCCTACCGCATATATTGCACCCCGTAAGTCGCGCCACATACGTGAGTACGTTAACCCTTACCAGATCCATTGCATCACGTAGTTGCGCCGCGTTTTTTTTCGTGTGTGTGTGTGTGTGTGTGCGTGCGTGCGTGCGTGCGTGTGTGTGTGTGTGTGCTTGTGTGTGTGTGTGTGTGTGTCGCGCCGGTCTCCGAGCCCAAGAGGGGCCCAAGACGAACCAAGAGCCCCTCAAACGACCCGAGATGGATCCAAGATGGTCCCAAGAGGGCGCCAAGGGGAAAAACTCGAACTGACATTTCGCGCTCTTCGCCCCAAGACGACCCCCGAGACCGCCAGCGGCCCCGAGGGCCCCCCCAGAAGCCCCAGGAGTCCCCCGAGAGGCTCAAATGAGGCTCCAGGAGGCCCCCAAGATGCCGCGAAAGGACCCAAGATGCCCCCCAACCGCCTGCCTTCAAGAAGCTTCCGAGAGGCCCCGAAAGAGATTCTCAGAGTGACACGCATCCAAAAGGCCTCTGACCTACAACCCAAGCACGGTGTCTGGATGGGCCGGGGGCCAATCGATCCGCCGCCCCCTGTTGATTCATCACAGGGGTGCCTGGCGTGCTAGACCCTCTCGGTTTTGGCTTTGGTTCTTTTTCCAAAAGAACTCCCCCTGGGGCTTCGTCACGTCCCGCCGGCCACCCGGAAGAGGTGGTTGCAAACGGTTTTCCTGCCCCAGACGGCCCCAAGATGGCCTCCAAGACGGCCAAGATGTCTCCAAGACGGTCAAGATGGTCTCCAAGACGGCTCAGATGGCCCCAAGATGCCTCCAAGACGGCCCGAGATGTACCCTAGACGGCCTAAGATAGCCTGAAGATGGCCCAAGACGGCCCAAGAGGCCGCCAAGAGGCCTCCAAGACGGCCCAAGAGGCCTCCAAGAGGTCCTCCAGGAAGGCCGGCCTGGCGAGGCCAAAATCATTGATTTTCCATCGGTTTTTGGAGGATGTTGGCATTTGCGCCTTTTCGGCTTTCCGACGGTCGCTCAAGAGGCCTACAAGAGGGCCTCCAAGACGGCCCGAGAGGCCTCCAACACGGCCCCAAGAGGGCCCCAAGACGGCCCCGAAGCGCCCGAAGCGGGCCCCAAGTCGGCCCAGAAAGGCCTCCAAGACGGCTCCCGACGGCGTCAGACGTGCCAGGAACCCACAAAGATGGCCGAAGTTGGCTCGAAACTGGCCCAAGACGGCCCAAGAGGCCCCCAGGAGGGCCTCCAGGAAGGCCAGAAGAGGCCAAAAACATTGATTTACCATGTTCTTTTGACGGATTTTGACATTTGTTTCTTTTCTGCCTTCCGACGGCCCGACACGGCCCAGCCCCCGAAGATCGCCCAAGATGCCTCCAAGATGGCCCCAGAACGGCCCAAGAGGGCCCCAAGAAGCCCCCAAGACGGCACATGAGGCCTTTAAGACGCCCAAGATGGCCTCCAAGACGGCCCTGGAGCATTCCAAGAGAGCCCCAAGTCGGCCCATAGAGGCCCCCCAAACGGCTTCCGACGGCGTCAGACGGACCAAGAGCCCACCAAGACGGCCGAACATGGCCCTAAGATGGCCCACGACGGCCCAAGAGGCCTCCAAGAGGGCCTCCAGGAAGGCCCGAAAAGACCAAAATCATTGATTTACCATAGGTTTTTGAAGGATTGTGGCATTGTTTGTTTTTTTGTCTGCCTTCCGACAGCCCGAGACGGCCCAAATGCCTCCAAAGATCGCCCAAGAGGCCCAAGACCAGCCCCAAGAGGCCCCCAAGACGGCCCAAGAGGCCTCCAAGACGCTCAAGATAGCCTTCAAGACGGCCCTGGAGCACCCCAAAAAAGGCCCAAGTCTGCCTAGCCTCGCCCACCGTGTTCCCGGAAGGCTTTCCAAACCGATTCGGGGAACACATGGTCCGATAGCTTGGCAGGTCTGGCCTCAACGTTCGGTCACATAGGCGCTTCCAAAAAGGCAGGGGGCGGCGGTGATTCGCCGTAGGCGTCTTCGATCCGCCGCCCCCTCTTGATTTATCATAGGGGTGCCCGGCGTGCTGGACTTCTTACGATTTCGTTCTGGCTCTTTCCCAAAAGAACTCCCCTGTGGGGCGTCGGCCCGTCCCGCCCGCCGGCTCTGCGGAAGACCCGGTTGCCAAAATTTTCCCAGTCCAGATGGCTCCAAGATGGTCTCCAAGACGGCCAAGATGCCCTCGAAGTTTGTCCAAGATGGTCCAAGATGGCCTCGAAGACGGCCCAAGAGAGTCCAAATTCGTCCAAGAAACCTCCAAGACGGCCTCAAGAGGCCTCGAAGAGGTCCCCAAGGAAGGCCCGAAGAGGCCAACATCATTGATATTCCGTAGGTTTCTGCAAGATTTTGGCAGTTGCTTCGAGACGGCCCAGGAGCCCCCAAAGATCGCCCCAACATCGCCCAAGAGGCCTCCAGGATGGCCACAGAACGGCCCAATAGGCGCACAAGACGGCCTGAGAGGCCTCCAAGACGCCCAAGATGGCCTCCAAGACGGCCCTGGAGCACCCCAAGAGGGTCCCAAGTCGGCCGAGAGAGGCCCCCAAGACGGCTTCCGACGGCGTCAGACGGGCCAGGAATGCGCTAAGACGGCCAAAGAGGCCCCCTAGAAGCCCCCAAAGGCCCCAAAGAGGCCCAAGGAGGCCCCAAAGATACCTCCAAGAGGCTCCCAGGAAGCTCCCAGGAGGTCCCAAGAGTGCCCCCAGAGGCTCCCAAGATGCCCCCTCCTTCTCCGCCTCCTCCTCCTCCTCCTCCTGATCTTCCCCGCCATCCTCCCCCAAGTGTTTTTCCGAAGGGTTTCCACAACGGTTGGGGGAACACACGGTCCGACAGCTTGGCAGAGCCCTTGCCACAACGCTCGGCCACATGGGCGATTCCAAAAAGGCAGGCTGCGGCGGTGATTCGCCGTAAGCGTCTTCGATACTTGATGTACGCCATGGCCGATCTGGAACCCGACTCCGCCCCGGCATTTCCCAGTGTGGACATCATGGGGCCGATAAAAATCGGCTCCGCGGCACCCAAACCCGCCGCTGTTAAGATTCCCCGGGGGAGCGGGGCTCGGCTACAAACTGCCACAGACAAGTCGCGCGTTGTCTCACGGACCTCCCCATCAACCCTAACCGCACACGGGTCACACACATCACGAATCCATCTCTCCTCACCCCCAGGCTGCTGCAAACAGATTGTCCAGACGCCGTGCGTTTGGCGTCGCCGACGCTGTTCTGCCAACCGTGTACAGATCGCCGCTGGCGCCTCAAGAGAAACATCTCCCGCCCTGCTTCAATCTTACTATACGATATTATACTGCATTGCGCTATACAATAGGGGCTCGACCACAAGAAACCTTCCACAAGAAACCCAACCCTGAGACTCCAGGACGTCCATTGACTTTTGGTGTGGGAATGTCACGCTTTCCATCGCAATGCCATCGAAGCCCAAGAAACCCAGGGCACCCTGGAGTCTAGCAGGGTGTTTCTAGGCATGGGACCCCATTGTACTATACGGCCCTGCATTGGAGACCGTACAGGGGACGATAAATACAACGGGCCACGACCCCCTGAGACCACAGCCCGAGACCACGGGCTAGGACCACATATCGCGAGGAGAGAGAGAGAGAGAGAGAGAGAGAGAGATAGAGAGTGCACGCGCTACGGCCAGAGACAACGAGGTACGATTTCCAGATCGCCGGATGCCCCCCCCCCCCCCCAGCCTTAGAAGAAATATACTGTGAGGGCATTGGATAAGAAATCGTTGGGTAAGGAAGCCAGGGTCTGGAAGCTGGCGGAATTCCAGTCGAGAACTGTCCATGGATATCACCGCCGTCCTCATCA